ATAGTTATTGGTGTCTGCTTTTTCACTTGTACCATGGTTAACCATGGAATGCCATGGTATCCCAAAATTAACAGTCAATTCTTATGTAAAATTGTCCCCTGAATCCAAAAATACCGTGAAAATTTATGAAAGTGGAGCAGTTTTTGAGATATAGTCAATTCCATATTAAATGAAAAATTGACCATATCTCAAAAGCTGTTCTACTTTTTTAACTTTTGATGGTATTTTCGGATTTAGGGGTCAATTTTACATAAGAATTGGCTGTTAAATTTTGTCATACCATGGTTTTCCATGGTTAACCATGGTACAAGTGAAAAAGCAGCCACTTATAACTATTAAATTAGTCATTTTTGACATTCATTTTTAGAGAGTATTTTCTTTGATAATATTACTATTATTCGTATATTCGCACGGCAACTACTCATCAAGTGACGTCATGCGCGGCACGAACCAAAACTCGTACACGGTAGCATCCAGCCCTGCGCTTAAGGCATTTTAATTAATTTAATATAAAGTTTAAACGTGACTGCCGTTCGACTTGCAAAACGTATGACAATTTCAATTACAATTTCAGAGAAAATTCCAATTTGAAGTTGATTAGTACCAAATTGAATTTGTTTGTTTCCAATTTGACTTTGTTTATTTCCATTTTGAACGTGTTAGTTACCAATTAAAAGTTGATTAATCCCAATTTAAAACTGTTACATTCCAAATTGAAATTGATTAGTTCCAATTTGAAGTTGAAAAGGTATAGAGCAGTGAAACTACTCATAGTTACAAACTCAACCGCACCAACGGCAGCGCCGAATTAAAATTATGTAAAGACATAATTTTAAAAGTCATAATTTTAATTGGTAGAATAAAAATTACCGAGAATTTTAATTGCTAGAATTTAAATTATTTAATGTAATAATATTAAAGTATGCATTTGTATAATGTACTGAGAAAAAAAATTTAACAAAATAAAATCGTTTCAAAAAAATATTGAACACAAAAAGAATTGGGTAAAGCAAAATATACAAATTTTTAACAACAGAAATAAAAATTCAGTATTTTTTTATCATTTTATCATTTTAATTGGCATATAATATATTACGAAGTCATTTTGCTTTTTCTTGTTGGAATTATTTTTTAGATAATTTTCTTTGTAATAAATATTTTTATACAATTAAAAAGTAAAACATAAATGCTCAAAAACAATTTGACGGATTTTTTTAACTATTTATACATTTACTACCTTTATTAACAAAATAAAGTTAATATTAGTAATCTAAAAATAAATAATAATATTGCATAGGTACACCATTTATTATCACAAAACAATGGTTTTGCCTATATATTATTAAATCTGTTGATACAATTTAAATCTTAGTACTTATTTATTTTCTTCGAAAAATTGGTGGCTTTGGGCAATTGTCGACCTATATTAAATTAATATTTGCAAATATTATTAGAAAGTATCGTTCGATCGTAGACATATTATACATAAAAATTGTATCTCATAAATTATATTTTCTACGATCCACCTTTTAAACGCCCAATATCGTACATGTTTCCATGACAAGTTGTGTCTTTATGGGGTTTTAGTCACGGACTGAAGTTGACAACAGGTTTTTAGACTCGGGCTCAAGTTAGTTGACAGTAGAAATTATTTTATTATCTCAATACAAAAATACAAAAGTATTAAATAGTTTCTCAATGCCAATATTTGAAAAGTTTATGACCTTTTTATGTCGCCGGTAGTAAAGTAGATTTAACTTAATTTCGGATGTGCCCATAAAACATATTCTACACTTTTACTGTGAAAAACTGTTAGTCAATTTTAAAGGGATATATTCATTTACACATAAAAATTTGACATTTTTACCGGCGCGACGGTAATACAGATTCCCAAGAATGGTTACTCTATATATTGTTTTATAGATGTCGCTCCATGCAAATATATAATTTAAAGTCTTTGTCTTAGAAAAAGTATAGTCATCAACTCGTTTATAAACTTTCCTATACACTTATTTAATTAAACATTTGCTCGCAAGCTCGCGCTTGATAAAAATTCCTGACTAAAATGGCGTTTATCAAACTTGATACATAATATACTATAATATTTTTATTTTTAGCCGCCCTCTTACTCAATAATGTCCCAAATTAACTTTTAATCCACTTCCTTGACATAAAAATAGACAACCGTAATTTTTTATAGTCTGATCACATACCAAGCATATAAGACAAAGGTAAACGATTTATGTGGGAGTCAAAATTAAAATCATTATTGGTGTTAAAGTTTAATCGGAACAATTTACTTTAATTGCATTATAGTGGAGTAACATACCTCAATTGCAGTGGAACATTAATTGTATCAAGGGATTTAATATTTAGAGCACGACTTTGGCTCGCATGGATGATTTATTTGTGTTATGTTGGATTTAAAATGTTTTACGATACATTGAACTATTGTCTTGTCACTTTTATCTTAGGAAGAGTTTGTTAAAAATAAAAATTATGCATTTGATTATCAACAAGTAATAATATTGATTTTAAATAAATGTCCTTGCTCCAATCCTTACAAGTGCAGGGTAAAATACGATTACATTGTACTATAAAACAATATTGATTTGATTTCACAGGCCCACCACTAAGTGGTATGCGTCATGAATAAAACCATGATATTCCAATGTATTTTTGCTCAGTGAAACTGAATCTGAACTCTGTTTAGACGTTTACGTCTGGATTTTTTCTACAGTGTGTCCCTATATCGGGTTGCCAATAGGAATAACTTTTAATTAAGTGCTTTTACAAAAAAATCATACTTTATAAAAAAATCCCACTTGTTATTTAAAAAATTATGTACAAGGTGCTCAAAAATTAAGAAAATATGAGAATGCTTCAAGGGAGAAAAGTTGATTGTAAAAAAAATTAGATTTAATTTAAAACAATGGAGTTAAATGTACCTACAGTGTGCTTATAAAATTATAAAAAACATTAAAATGCCTTTTGCAATTTAAAACCCAAATGGTCCAAATGACAGTGAACATTGAAATCAGCCAATTACTGATGCCTAACAACGTGAATAATTAGTTCATTATTCCCGTTGTTAGGCGGGCGGTAATACTGGTTACCATTATATGGGGAAAAACCCAATATTGTTAATGTTAATTAAATTAACTTATATTTAATAAAGTTTATAGCAATAATTATTATTGAATAATATATAAATTTTGTATTAACAAAATATAAAACAATACGTAAAATCAGCTATAACATTTTTAGGTATGAACTTTTGCTATTTTGCTTAATTTAAATAAATTAAACCACAATTGTGTAATATTATTTTTCATACGCAAATAAACATTTTTTTTACTCCTATTTCATAATATTGACATTATTTGGAGTTTCCCCTATATAATGGTAACCATTATAACCGCCCGCCTTATTACGGGAATAATGAACTCATTATTCACGTTGTAAGGCATCAGTGATTGGCTGATTTCATATTCATTATGATTTGAACCAATAGGGTTTTAAATTGGGAAAAAGTGAGGTTGTCAGATTTTATTAATACGATGGGCGACTATAATGATCATTAAATTTGGGAAAAGGTAAGGTTATAATTAATTTTGTTATTAATAAAAATTACTTAAATTGAGTAGAAAAAGCATAGTATTACACTCAAGTTAATGCGCATTATTCACTTGAATGATTTACGTCTCTCGCCTAACGCCTCGAGACGCAAACCTTATCCTGGTGAATAATGGTCTGAATTATCTCTCTCATAATACACTATTATAAAGGTCCTTTATTCTTTGGTCAATTTTTTGTTGTATTGACATTAATTTAATAGCAAGCGAGTGCTTAATTAAATGATATAGGAATGCAGTTTTCCACAGTAAAAGTAAGGAAAATGTTTTATTGACACTCCACGGTGGACTCTCCACCCGAAATTAAGTTAAATCTAGTTTTCTACCGGCAAAATATAAAAGTATTTTACAAGAAGGGTACTTTGTTTTAACTATTGTATGACATTTGACAACTGTCAACTAACTTCAGCCCGTGACTTAAACGACATAAAACTTGTCAAAGGTCACTTAGTGTCATGGAAACATGTACGATAATTATGATACTATGTAGTAGGAAAAATTGAGCCGAAAAACCTGTTTTTTTTCGACAATTTAAAACAACAATTAAATTATACAAACAATATTTAAATTTAAAATTTTAAAAATGCTTTCATTATCAATACACCGATCAGGTATAGTTATAACAATTATAAATAAATAAAGAGGAGGTCAAGAGACAAGTAAAAGGTCGACAATAACATGTGCATTATGTATTTAGTTTAAAATATTTTAAAAAATTCACACAATTTTATTTCAATTTTTTTACAATCCATTGTTAAAACGTCTTCTATTTTTAAGTACGTACAACGTAGTAAACTTACTTTGCATGTAATAAAAATATAAAAAATACTTGTATCTTATCAACCGCAAATATTTAAAAAATAAACATTGTTAAGTAATTAGAATTACTATTGTAACCTTGGCGAATGCTTTTTCGAAAAAAAATGGTGAATGTACACTTTGAAAATGTTAAATTTATTGCATATTGAAATTTTACCTAAAAACTAAATACCAAATACTTATATCCCTAATGTATTTTGCTTGTCGACATTAGCCATTAATGTCTAAATTCAAGACCTATTAAAGTAATTACAAAAAATACTACCTAATTTTAATTAAAATTATGAATGTATGTAGTACCTAGGTACCCTATATAATAAAAAAAATTATCTATTGTAAAACAATAAAAGAAAATTAATGTAATTCTTCTAAGAATTATTATCACACAATAAACAAACTAAAATTATAGTTATATTTTATCATTCGGTTTGTTAATTTACTATTTACAAAATTAATTATATATAATTAAATTATCATGAAAACTAAACAAAATTAACACTATTAAATTTATGTAAACATGTTTTTTTAATCAAATGAAAAACTCACCTCAAAAGTATATTTGATTTTTTTGAAAGAATTTTTTATTGTTGCACAATCCAATTCATCCTTTTTGTCGCTTTCGCTCGTTTTAACCGAACCATTTTCTGTGGCACTTTCGTTGTTTTCACTATTATTAAATTTATATACAATATCACTTGGTTTAATGCTCACTTTATCGAAGAACGGTTCAGTTTTCACAATTGGAGTGGAGTTTGTGGATCCTGCAGCAGATTCCGAATTATCCTTGTTTTCTTTTTTACCTTTGAACATTTTCCCAGTATTTTCAAAAACCTTTTTGCATTTTACTTTGGAAGTTTTATACATCTCCTCGAAGTTTATACCAACCTTTTCTTTATCGTTAAAAGCCCCAACCCTCTGCTGAGCCGCATGCTCTTCCATCATATGGTTGAACTTTGTTTTGAAGTGTTTCCAGGTATCAACCGCTTTCTGCGGTTTTTTTAACATCGTCGGTCGTCGCAATATCATCGGCAATCGACTTCTAACCTTGACGTACTCCATTTCGGAAGTTTGCCCCGATGCCGGTTCATTTCTCTTCGGCAGATCAGGGCCTTGCACGATTATTTGGCTGGCGGAGATGTGCTCAATGCTTGAATGGTTCGAAGTCATCGGTTGGGCCTCATCGGCGTTAAAATCGTGCAAAGATTGCGATAACCTGTTGACTTTTTTCAAGGATCTTGGTATTTTATAAAACCCATCTTCTTCATCGTCTGAATCGTCTTTTTTTCTGAGGATTATGTTGGGATCACTGCCAGATTTATAAGGGGATAGTTCTTCGAAACTTTTAGTTTGAAACCTTATTTCGCTCTGTGATACATATTTCTCCGGTGTCTCCTCTCTTGTATCAATAAGTTGTGATTTATATCTAATATCTTCCTTAATATTACACTCATCATCATCAACATTGTCAATTTGTTGTACTGGTTGTGTCAATGTAATCTTCACACTACTCTTTGCTATAGGTTTGACGACATCATAATTAGGAGCATCCATTTCCTCGCTTTCTTCCTCTTTAATTACCTCGACGTTTTGATATGTATCATCTTTTTTTTCAAAAAACTTGAAGCTAATTCTCGGCACATCATATAAAAAAGGACCGTTAGCAGCGTCGAGATTTTTCGACTCAAACTTTGTACAAACTACCACATCGGTGTATAAATCCGTATCATCAGCTTCACTAACTCGATTGCTTCTATCAGAAAGACCCCGGGCGTCTTCAAACACATCATCTTCCGTATCACTATCAGTTATGTATATACTATTAGGCAAACTTCTGCTTTTATCGTACTCTATTTGAGCCTCTTGCACGTCATACGAGCCGGATGATCGTTTTGATGCACTGCCTTTATCTGACGAAGGCGACCTTCTGAATATGCTGCTGTTAATGTTGGGCACAGTGATTCTCCATTCTTGTTTGCTAATCTTATCGCAGAATTTCTTCATTTTTCAGTTCTACAAACGAATCATTTTAGCGTGCGATGACAGCAGCTCGCGGAGAATAAAACTGTTTAGTGGTACAACGTTGAAAAAAGCACGGATAACATAAAATAAACAGTAATTAGCAGGTAAATCGTTTAGGTTAAACAAGGATAGTCGCGGTGGGAAGGTCATTATGACGTACTGTTTGTTATCATATGATAATGACACTGCTTAACTGAGGCAATAGATCAAAATGAGCGGATACCAAGCGGTACGTGATATTTTATTGGGACAAAACAAAACAAAATCATTGTTTATTACATCATTCAGTTTTAAGATATCTACTATAATTACACTTGATAGGTTCTCTCTCATTAATAAAATATTAATAATAAATAATTGGTATTGTTACAAGTAGATTTAATTAAATTTCTAAAATAAACTTCATATAAGTATTCGCATTTGTATATGCGTGTTTTTTAATATTAGCAGCAGTAAAATTGGATTTGCTTCGCTAAAAATAATATTTATAATTAAAATGCATGTTGCTTTCTAGCTAGCATAAATATTGCCTACTTAGATAAATAGCTACCGTAACTTTACCTGAGAATCAAAAAGTTTAAAATATTTTAAATATTTTTTTTATTTTTGAAACGTAGTGATTAAATCAGTGACAAAATTTTAAAAAAATGTTCTTGCAATCCGGCGATAACAAATATATATTTTTTAAATTTTGTATCTTTTTAGGAGAGTATTATTAATATATTATTATGTTTTTTTTATAATTGTAAATTTTGGAAGTGAATTTTATTTATTTTGTATGCTCTTCTTATGGATTCTTTCTAGGGACAAAAAATATGAAAAATTTAAAACCTCCACAATAATTATTAACAAAGTTACAGTGTTATAGATATTGGAATAGCTGTTATTCTTAAAGTTGGCAAAAGTGCTGTACGACTTCCAAATTATGAGTCAAGATCAGGCTTAAAATAGAAACATTGTCTCCATACTACTAGACTATAGTAATTAAAAATATTAAAAACTTTTTAACACAAAACAGTTTAGGTCTTATAAAAAATATTTTATTTTCTTTGATTTATCATAACTTTTTAAGAAATTTTAAAAATTATACTATTGGCCCCCGCGAGGGGGGAGATATATTTATATGAATATAAAAATAGTAAACTCTTTAAAAACCCAACAAAATAAAAATGGAACCGCAAATTTTGCAAAAATGTTTAAATTTCATTTTAAAGGCAAAATTGGAACCTCATACTTTTGACTTAGTTCAAAATAAAATGTGCTAATTTACGCTTCCTAATAAATTGCAATTATCCCCTTATTAAAACTACATAAAATCATATCAAAAGGCAACTTTTGTTAAATAACGTATTTACCATTAAATAATAGGTATTTTTGTACTGTACGAAAAACAAAAAGACACTCAGCCGAATGGCGATTTATAAGACATAAGACATAAAATTATAATAATAACAAACTTAAACCGATTGTTCCAAGTAGTGAGTGTTGACAATAATAAAGTTTAAATTATAGACGCTTAAGGATAAAATATTAACTAATAGGATAAATTTAATACACAAGTATAAAAAGTAGGAATTTTTCAAATATTATTGTTCGTTTGGAAATAATGCTATGGCAATTAAAAATAAATATTTACCTTTTTACTGTCTGTAAATCTTTAATCATGTGTACTTATGCTGTTTAATTTTTACAAACAGTGATTTAATTATAATTAAATATTGTTAATAGTAGTAGATGAGCCTAAAGAAAAGCTTGAAATTATCATAACTTTGTCTATTTAATAAATTTTAAATTTTTTTGAACAATTTGGTTTAATCCTTATTTATAAATAAATTGTACTAAAAAAATTAAATTAATTAAAAACTTTTTGATCAAAAAATAAATGTCAAAAACAATTTGTTTAAATAAATTTCGAGTTTATATAAAAAATATTTAATTTGTATTGAATTTACAAGAATATTTAATTAAATTAATTTAAGTCCTACAAAAAATAATATTCCAATTATTTTATTATTAAAAATGGATTGAAATAGTAAAATCTGAACTCCCAGCCCTTAAATTATTGTTTATATATTTTTCCTAAAATTATTGTTGTCAAAATATTACATCATTTGTTTACATTAATTTCACAGACAACCTAAATTGACATTTATATATGTTACTAGATAAGTAAGAAGGAGGGTATAAATTAAAAATTAATTGCATCAATAGTTAATTCTTATAAAATAATTAAATTTAAATGGGACAAAATGATAAAAAACAAAATTATGCATAGAATAAATAAAATTTAAATTAATGATAATAAAATACTTAAATTATTTAATAACTTTTGGTTTCCCGTTTTTTTTTAAATTTATGTGTTACACCACTAAACAGTTTTTTCTATAAAATATCTAAATTTAATTACCAAATAGCCTTCTAATCCTGCAAATTTACGTATTCCAAAAAATTTTGGCACTATCAAAACTGAAATATCATAACAAAACCTCACGCTTATTTTTACAATCTCGATCCAAATTAATTCAGCCACTTTTACGACACAAAATCACATAATGAACCAAAAGCGCACATTTTTTCAATAATTAATATCGTTTGATTTTTTTCGTATTTTTCGCCGATAAGCCGCATTTTGCCCGCAGGGGCCAACGCAAAGCAGTGAAGCGCTATATTAAGTCTGTGTGCCTATAATTATAACATGTGTGCTAGAGACGCGAGAGGCCCTCGTACTGACGACTCAAGCCAAGCCATAAAAGTTTTAACTTTATACTTTAAACCTAAAACCCTTGCATGCAGATACGCTGGGAGACACAACAAAATGCATATAAGTTTACTCAATCAGTTTTTATCAAATAAGCGAATTCAGCATAAAAATAAAATAAAAGGCGTCGCAAAAAAAATTGGACTTTGCCTACCTATAGGTGGTAAAGTTGAATGAATTTTAAAAACATTAAATAAGTAATACTACATTAATCTACAATATAGTTTTTAATAGTATATTATGTATCAAGTTTTATAAACGCCATTTTAGTTTAGTTACGAGTTTAATCAAGCACCAGCGAAGCTATCGAGCGAATGTTTAATAAAAACGACTGCCTAGAGAAGTTTAAAAACAAGTTGCACGAAGAACACAAAACAGAATTTAAAGCCAATTTTATTTGTTATAAATTTGACATCTTTCAACTGTCAACCGAATTTAACCTCACTTTTTTCCAATTTATAATATAGCTAACTTCAGCCTGTGACTAAAATGCCATAAAGTAAGAGCTCGTCAATGTAGGAGTAGATAACATACCTTAATGACAAAAAGGCAGACAAGAAAATATTAAAAGATTTAAAAAAATAATACGAATTTATGGCAATTTATGGCAAACTAGGCATACATGCATATATGTACGTTCAATTCATATCTGCTTAATCATTTTTTAATAATTTTAAATAATTTATTAAGGTAAGTAGACATTTTTACATATTTATAGACAAAATATGTTAAAACATAGGTATACAGAAATAAGTTTTATTTTAAAAATATAATAGTTATAATATAACAATTATTGTTTGATTTTCGCAAAAAAGTACATCTGTCAACCATGTAAACCTCGGCTGCCTTCAGGGACGTAGCGAAGGTTCCAATCATGGAGGGGTGAGTTTTATTAAAATGCCGACTTTACAAATATTTTACCGATTTCAGCAATTTTTTATACACTGAAAAAAAAATATTCTTGTATCAAATAAATTTATTTGATTCAAAACAATCTGTGTCTCATATATAACGATGAGAATATATTCTTTAAAATAGAAAAGTATTTTCTTAATTCACGTTGATTTACTTTAAGAATATTTTCTTAATGTAAGAAAATTAAATTTCTTTAAATAAAACTTTGATTGTTTAAAAGCAAGAATATATATTTTTTACAAAAACAAAGAAACACTGCATAATTAGGCATAAAATTTAAGAGGAACGTGTCGGCATCCCCACTTCTACGCAGTTTTAAGAATATGTATTCTTGGCAAAAGAAAATACTGTTTATAAAAACAAATAAACAAATTTAAGAATATCTATTTCTTAATATAAAAAAATTAAAAATATCGTATTCTTGATATAAAAATATTAACAATTGTACCAAGAAACCAACTTAGATTTCCTTTAAGAATATTTAATATTTGAATTAAAACATGCAACTTTTTAAAACAAGAACCTGTTTCTTAATACTATAATATTTTCAAAAATACAAAATTCTTTTTTAAAGAAGTTAAATATTTTTAATTGAAATATATATTCTTATTTTAAAGCAAGTTGACTTGAATTAAAAAAATATTTTCAAGATGATTGGTATTCTAAATGTAAGAAATCTTTTTTTTCAGTGTAGGTTTGAGATTGAGGAAAAAGTATACTTAATCCAAATAAGATTGGACAGCTAGTTACATTTATTAGTAATTGAGTACAGTAACGTTATCACTTTAATCCCCTAAAGTTTGTTCCCAGTTATTAAAAATATTGGATTATACATAAATATATTATCGAAACTTTGGAAAATGTTGACCAAAAAACCTGAAGTTGTAAATTTAATAAATAAATTTAATATCATATAGCGTTGCAAATTTTTTGTATGTAATTTTTAATACTTTTTGGGATACCCTATATATTTTTATTATACTTAAGGTATTAAGTGTACTAAATTAAATAAAATATCTCATTTCTATAGGGTATCCAGAAAATGGAGCACAAACGCCATAAGCGTTATTAGTTAGAAATTACAAAACAATTTTTTGACAAGTAGTTTTTGGATTGGTAAAAAAAATTATTTGTATAAAAAGACACCCAAGTCCCACCTTAACATTTAAATACAATAAATTTCGTCTTATTTTCTAAAAATAATAGTATTTTGTCTCTTAATTCAATCTATATTAAATAATTACCTAATTTAGAATTTATAATGACATCAACGTATTGTGATTTGTAAAATGCCAAAGTAAACCTAAACCCATTAATTAATATATGCCTAAACCTATATAATTATTATAACTTTAGACTTTTTTCAATGTACTAAAAAATATTGTTTATTTCTTACGTTAATTAATCGTAATTAATAATTAGTATTATACGAGTATAATATTTAAAATATTAATTTTATGAGACATTTTAAAAATAATAATAATTTAAATTAAAAAATTTGAAAAATTAAAAAATATAACTATTTTTAATTTTAATTCGGTTTGTTTTTTCGTAGGCCTTCTCTAAACTTGTAAGGTTTCCATCTTTTTCTAAGCAAACGCGACCACCACGTGTTTGTGTTGTAGTACACAAAGTGACTTTTTCTGTAAACAATAGCATGCTCTGTGTTTGCTCTACGATCGTAGTCGCTTACGCCACCTTCGCAGAAGAAAACAATTAACCTGCTTTTCAGGAGCTGTAATACTTTAAAACGATGTACACCGACCAGGATGTAACTTATTTTAGTTACTATTAGGGAAAACAAATTTAGTACACACGGTTTACCTAGTTTGTGGGTTAGTAACCTTATTTATAAATTTAACTGGATGGTGATTTTAATGTTACTTCAAATTTAATATAATTAAAAGTTCAAAAATGGCGAATGCGCCGGGATTGTATATTATTATAATAATGTAATAAATCATTTTTTCTACTCCCACCTTTAAAACGCCCTTTATCGTACATGTTTCCATGACACTAAGTGACCTTTTAAATACACATTGACAAGTTGTGGCTTTATGGCGCTTTAGTCACGGGCTGAAGTTAGCAACAGGATTTTAGTCACGGGCTGAAGTTAGTTTTAAGTTAGTTGACAGTTGTCAAATGTCATACAATCGTTAAAATAAATTGCTGTGAAAATTATTTTATTATGTCAATACAAAAATACAAAAGTATTAAATAGTTTCTCAACGCCAATATTTGAAAAGTTTATATGAACATTGTAATGACTTTTTAATTTCGCCGGCAGTAAACTATAACTTAAATTCGAGCACGGACTCCACTGTAAAGTGCTTATAAAACATTTTCTTTACTTTCACTGTAAAAAACTGTCAATTTTCAAGAAATACATTTCGATTTATAACCTTTATAATTGTGTTTATAAAATTTGACATTTGACGGTGACACACAGATTCCCCTATTGTTTGATGGCGCTCTATACGAATTTTTGATTTAAATCATTTTAAGATAATAATAAGCATTTGTCGTAGAAAAAGTATAGTATGCACCTCGTTTATAAACTTTTCTATACACTCATTAATTTAAGCACTCGCTCGCAAGCTCACTCGTGCCAAAATTAAATTCGTGTATAAAATGGCGTTTATCAAACTTAATACATAATATACTATAATAGTATATTATGTATTATAAATCAATATTTCAACCTTTTTGCCTAGTGTTTATCGAAAATATTAAAAAATGCATATTTTTTCTTTATTTGAGATAAAAGTGTTAAATTAAACTATTAATTAGTTCTTTGAAAATTTTCTTGAAATTATACTTTTCAAAAGTAAAAAGGTTTTTTTATTTATAAAATGTAACATTTTATTTTAAAAATGTTATTGGAAAATTGTGTTCAATCCATTTAAATAAATAAATTTACTTAGGTATACACTTATTATACAGTGTGACCCTCCTACCTCTACTATCCAACATTTTAAGTAAGCAAAAAAGTTAAGAAGAATTAAGGAAAGAAGTTTTATTTAAAAAGTGAATATTTGATTAATTATAATTATTATTAGTACATACAATTATTATTATAATTATTATAATAACAATTATTTAGTTTAAAATAGTTTGATTGCAATTTGTATTTTATGGTCTATGATTTTATATGATTTTGTATATACTAAGATAAAAATAATCTTAAACATTACTCTAATTTACTTTTTCCTGCAACATATCAAATTTCCTGGTTTTAAATTAATTTCGCCACGATTTTCCATTGTTTCTTTATTTTTAACGGTAAACAATGAAAGGAGGAAATTATATATAAATTATATATAAATATATTTATTTGTTTAGGGCCTAAACTTTAGGCATTGACCGAATATATTTTTCATGAGTTTATATACATATACATATACATATATATATACATATGTATCGTAAATCCGATTGTTATAATACATATTACATTTCTAGAATTAGAACGAATCCATTTTGTAAAAGTCGATGTTTACTCTGCAGTAATGTTTTATTGTCTTTCCTTGCACATAAAAGTAACAAAATACTATTTTATATGTGATGGACACAATAAAGGAAGTAGAAATATGAAACTCGTAAGTAAGAAAAGACTTTGTAACTAAACACTAATTGTAAGACAAAATAAAATAAAAATGATTAGTTAAAAGTAATTAGCTTGGGGTTAAAAAATAAAAATATTTTATTTAACCTTTATTTAAAAATAAAAATTTTAAGCTTAGGACATAATCTTTTTCAAATTTTGCGGAGCCCATGCTGCAATATTATTTCTAATTATATAAATATCATAAATTATTTAAAAATATGACATTTTTAATACACTCTATTTAAAAAATCTATTATTTAGTAGGTAGGTATACCTATTTCAGATATACAAGTTTAGGTTTGTTTAGTAGGTGGTATATTTTAAAACGAATTAGATTGTTTTAA